ATAAGGGACAGATTTCATGTGGAATCAATGACTTTAAAACGCTCGCTTTGTGAGTAAGGGGAACTGTTCCTGGTACCGTGAATGCTGTAAAATTCACATTTAACAACTGGGCTCAAAGATCTTTGCTATTTGTTCAAGGGGAACCATGACTTACAGCTAAGAGAGTATTTTAATTAAATCTCGGTATAGTATATCTTAGAAATGGATGAAATTAGAGGGGCAAGGAGATGGGGCAAAGAATGAATCCAGGATATCAAGTACCTTCCTTATTTTTTATTTCAACTTTTCCCATTCCCCAGAAAGAGCATAATTTGTGTTCTCCGGCACTCAAATGTCGCCTATAACGATCTGGATTTCGTAACGAGTTCTTAACTGAGTGTTTTTGACAGTTTTGGTTTGATAGAATGTCACTAAATATGATGGGACTCACAGGAATTATACCCAAAGCAGGCTCAACTAAAACCGCTTAATAGCAATAATTTTCAGCTTTAATAATTGTAATAGAATGCTAAGAAAGCGAAACAAAGACTAATTTCAGAAATCGACGAAACCGTCTCTGCGTTATTTTTTTTACATGAATATTATTTGCTTATAAACAGCGGATTGCATAAACAACATGGGAGAATCAAAGACGCATTGAGTGGCATAAACACAGTCTGATCGAAAATGAGAAATAAACACTGACAAAAAGATTGAACCATCTCTTTCATCTACGTGAGTGTCTTACTAGTTTTAAACCGGCGAAGTAATATTTACACTGCACAAAAATACAATAGCTCAAAGAGGAAATGGATGTGATATGAAATGCGCAGACTAGATATTTCGAATTTCTTTCATTACACCAAGTTTAAAAGGAGCGAAGTTTTGCCAGATAATAATTCATTTTCAATATTCGTTCACATGTAGGGTGAACGTTCTTTAACAATGTTATAATCACTACAATCAATTTCTCAGCAAGAAGAAAGATCACAGGATCTCTGCTTTCAAGGCTCGATTTGTACCGAGTGTAGAAAATCTTTCTACGTATTGAAATTTTGATAATTTTTTTGACAAATAGCACCGAGTTTTAAAAGACACTGAAAAGGGCAGAAATACGTCACAGAAACTGCTTTGATTCGCATGTGATCCACCCCTCCCCCTCCCCCACACTGCTCAACTCATTTTAGTTTCATTTCTACCATTTACACTAATTTTATTAATGAGGGGTGCGCGATAGACTTACCTCCTCGTGGTGCAATCTGGACAACGTATTTTCTTACGGCAAAAAAGTCTATCAATCGGCATTCGTTTTTGACTTCGATTAATTATGATTAGCTTTAAAAAAGGCTATAAGAAAAATCGCCCTCGTCAGGACGAATTACAATGTCTTCAGATCCTCCAGTGGAATGCTGGAGGAATGTCTCCGGACAAAAAGATCCAAATACAGAAAATCCTGCAAACCTATGATGCAGACATTTTCACAATTATGGAAGCTAACATTTCGGATGACAAACTGAAGTATTACCAATTCCCAGGTTACACCCTGTACAATCTACATATATACCGGCAAGTTGCAAGTGGAATTCTAACTGGAGTAAAAGATGGCCTCATCTCACACTACGATCTAATCAAGAGTGTGGGCTCGACACAAGACAAATGTGAAATAATCAGATTAAATGTTTGGAAATGTCAAATCCAATTCAAGATATATCCAGTCTATAATCCTCCCCAGAATTGTCCAAACTTTGACTTTCTGAACATCTCACACAAAACTATAGTATTAGGAGACTTCAACGCCCACTCCACGAGATGGGGCTACAAGGATACAAACATAGCTGGTGAGGAAATTGAAGACATGCTAAACAGCAACATTCTGGAACTTATTTATAGCAATGAGGATCCGGCTACATATTTGCACTACAATGGATCCAGAACATCTCCTGATTTACTCTTGGCTTCAAGCGACATCAGTGAGCATACACACCGCAAAATAATTGACGATCCTGGTTCTGGTCACAAACCAGTCATTGCTAGTATTATCATCGGCAGCAAAAGCATGTCAAGAAAAGTGCCAACTAAGCTATCATGGAACTTCAAGAAGGCTGACTGGCCTAGATTCACAAACCTTTTAGAGGATGAACTTCATTCAAGTCCCCTCAACTTCAACCAACATCCTGACAAACTTTGCACTAATATCACGAATATTATGATCAGATGTGCAAAGAAAACTATTCCCCGAGGCAAAACTAAACACTATCGAGTGTTTTGGTCTAAACACCTTGAGGAACTGAAAAGAAAGAGGGACGCCCTTCGCAACACTGCTGATCTGACTGGAAGAACGGAAGACGTAAAAGCCTGGAGACGACAATCAGCTGTCCTAAGGCAAGCCATCTTACAAGCTAAACGCACTTCTTTCGACAAGTTCATCTCAAATATCAACTATCAAAGTGATAGCCAACGCACTTTCAAATTTCTGAGAAACCTCCAAAACAACAGAGAAAGACCCAAGAAAGAACCAATACGCTTAAACACCAAATTGCTTACCACCGACACCGAAATAGCTAACTGCTTTGCGAAGTTCTATTCCCACAAGCAAAAGAAATCTTCAAGAGATTTAAAGATACAAGTAAGACAGTTTGGTGAAATTAAGGAAGACANAGATAAAGGAATGTAGAAAACTCTATGAGCTGCTGAGAGAGAAAAACAAAACAGTGGTCCTACAATGGAATCCTGGTCACTGTGGCATTCAAGGCAATGAGATTGCTGACACACTTGCTAAGAAGGGGACAACGATTCTGCAATGCATGGACCGGCCGATGTCTTTCCACACAATGAAGACCTTAATCAGGAGAGAATTCCAGACCTCAAGGTGCAATGAACTTAAAGCTCGAACAAAGGAGAAACAGTGGACAGTGGCACTCTCCGACATACCCGACTGGCCAAGAATCGAAGCCGTTGTTGAGTTTAGACTACGTACCGGACACGATTGCTTGGCAAAACACCTTCACAGATTGGGAGTATACACTCAACCCACATGCCCTCTATGTAACCTACATGAGGAAATGGAGAAGACCCACCTGATTCGGTGTCCAGCTCTAAAGACAAGGACGGAAAGCCAGAGATACTGGGAAGCAAGAAGACGGCTAATGAACTGCTATTAATTATCTGCTA